GACATGACCTAATGAAGGGATGGCATGCCTTTATTTGGAACTCTGGAAACAAATCACACAAACATTTTAACAATCATACCATTAGGAAATCTTTAATTAGTACTTGGCAACAAATTCAACGTAAGCATTATATGAAAATCCCCGGTTGGTTGTCGACAATAGAAGCAATTACCCACCCAAATATATTATCAAAACAAAAAATACTACGATATAGAGAAATATTAGATGCACAGGGCAAATTAAAAACTAGGGAAGAATTAAAAGAACAAGGAATAGCAATAGACTGATGGCCCTACTCACAAATAAAAATAAGATACAGGAAGGATCAGGAGGAGGGGGGAATAGATTTGAAACAAAACAGGTTGGATAAATTATTAGAATCTAAAGAAGGGAAATTAATTTTGAAAATCTACAAATATTTACTTGAATATGATTTGGCAGAAGAATTAGTGAAAGGGCAGATGATAGCATGGGCGAGAAACATCGGGCACAGTCTACAGCTAGAAGACTGGGAAAGAGTCTGGGAAACTAATTATAGCATGACAAAATCGGTGGCCTACAAAGAAAATCATTATAAGATGTGGTATCGATGGCATTTGGCCCCCGCAAGACTTGCGAAAATGTACCCAAATGTAGATTCGACCTGTTGGAAGTGCAGAAAAACACAGGGAACTTTCTACCATGCTTGGTGGCTTTGCCCGGTCATTAAGAAATACTGGAACAAGGTAAGGATATGGATAAGAGAAATTACAGATTGTGAAATTGAATTAGAACCGGAGATTTTTCTATTGGGCATGATCAAAAAGAACATCCGAAATGACATAAAATACCTAATACTTCATATAATCACGGCGGCAAGATTAGCACTAGCACAATTCTGGAAAAGCGATCGATTGCCAACAGATCAGGAATTAATACAAAAAATATATACATGCGCAGAGATGGATAGACTAACTTTAGAGTTACAGGATAAGGAGGACTCTAAATATTATGAAACATGGAATAGATGGTACCAATGGATAAACCAGAGGAAAGGAATTGGGTAGAGATGAAATTTAGAAGAAATCAATATAACAAAAAACAGCACTGTCAGAGGAATAGAATATAGAATACTTTATTGTATGTTTATATATATGTACATATAATACATATAATATATTTATATAGAATAATGGAAATTAGCTAAGAGGTGACGTTTATGTACTGTATATGTAAATTTGTTTCTCAATTGTGAGAAACTTGTATGTTTTTAAATGTTTTTTCTTTTAAACAATAAAGTTTATATTAAAAAAAAAGAAATAAAAAAAAAGAAGTTAAATTAACAGCCCTTGTTCAGAAAAGACTAATTTATTGTACTTGTGTTCAAACAACTACTAAGAAAGCTCATCAGTAGTCTTTAATTAGTAAATTAAGGTTTGTACGGACTTTGTGTGTGCTGCGTCCTTTGGGGTCCGTAACTGGGGCAGAACAGTCAGTTATGCTGTGCTGACTGGGGAATGTTGTCAGTTGATGTCCACAAGTCTTAAAGTTGCCAAGATTGGAGACTGCTGAAATAACTCATTCTCTGGATGAGAATTTGGGTCATTCCATGTCAAGTGGTCTGGGGGTCCCTGCTCGACCATCACGGATTTCGATGAAGTTTTGTGTGAACATGTACAATTGTCCCCAATGAACATTGGTAAAGTGTTATGTGTGCTGATGCAATACTTGTGGAGATATAGTCATTTGTGTGACCCCCATACTGCAGTCTTCTACAGTATGACTCTGAGGTTCCAGCAACTTTGAGACATAATATCTCTGGCAATATTTTGTTGAGAGGAACAAAACTTGGCCATCTTGTACAACTTTTTGTGCTCTATTAAACAAAATAATAAAAACATTCTCGTGAGCGATCTCCATCTAGATAATTTGGAGCAAAGTTGGCCAAAAATATTGTGGCTCGAAAAAAAGGTTAAAATTTGGCTTTTTATATCTCTGGAAGGAAAGGTATGAGAAACATGATGGTCGAGCAGGGCAGTTTTCTGAAATCAGACCACTTGACATGGAATGACCCATTTATATTCTGCCCATAATAATGCAAAGGTATCATCAGTTCAGCAGATGAATACCTTTTTATATGGAATTAATCTTCTGAAAATGTTGCATACACATTCAAGAGATTTAACTGAACATTAATACTGCAGAGGATACACAATACAATTGGCAGAATAATCTGGAAAGCCCCACCCCCCACCCCCAGGTTAGACAGGATCCCCATTGAAAGGTATGAAAAATCTAAGAATTTCTCTCCTATACGGTTAGAGATAAATAATGTATCCTTACTGTTTTCATAGTATGATGCTTTTATAGTGATTATTCTGAAAAAATGAAAGAATCCAACAAAATATGTCATTCCTCATTCAATTTTCTTGTTAAATATAGTTGCTAAAATATTGACAGCTAATTTGGCATGAAGATTATAGAAAATATTCTATTCAGTAATTCATCCAGTGTTATCTGGCTTTATGATATGTCACAGCTCTGATATTAGATCATTGGTAAATTTTAAAATTGCATTCTAATAGTAGTGAAACAGCTGTATTGGGTTTCCAGGATGCAGAAAAAACCTTCAATATATTCTAATTTAAGTTTTTTGAATAAGTTATGAAAAATGGATTTCCATCATTTATCAATAAAAAGTAATATAAAATTATTACTTCAACCCTTCTGCTCAGGTAATTTACTAATGGGACTATTTCCTGTGCTATTAAGATAGATGTAAAACTCATCTCTTTCTAGTTTTTCTGGTTCTTCAACATTCTTTTTTTATACTGAATTAACCCAAATGGTTCTTTTAAAAACATAACCTTCCAGTACTATATTCCAATCATGAATCCGCTTATCAACTTTCCATAACACCAAAAATGTCATATTTGCTGCCCCTCCCCCAATTCCTGTACCAAGACTTTCCATTCCTATTTGTTTTCCATGCTCTGAGTATGTAGAGGCATCTGGGTCCTTCAGTTTGCTTGCACCATGTCCTGGTGTATTTCAAGCATTCCCTCCCATATTTGCTGTGAGGTTAACAGACTTTGGGCTTAAGGTGTATGTGTGATTCTGGATATTGGTCTTTCTCCTAGTCTAGTTTGAACCTTGTGAGATCCTTTCTCCTTTAAAACAATGTTCATTTCCAATATATACTCTGGGATTGAATATATTGAAAAAAATGACATTGTTTTCAAGAAAAAGCCACATGGCACGTATTTAACATTTTGCATACTTTAAAATATATGTTCATTATTAATAATCTTACTTCAATGGCCATTTTGAGTAGTGGTTAAAGGCCCAAGTTAGAACTATGAGTTCTAGTTCTGCCTTAGGCAGAAGTAGTTGGGTGACCTTAGGCCAGTCACTCTCTCTCAGCCCTAGGAAGAGGTAATGGCAAGCAACTTCTGAAAAACCTTGTCAAGAAAACTGCAGGCAAGGACTTGTCTAGGTAGTCACCAGGAGTGAAGACTGACTTAAACACACCAATATAGACACACATATAAATATTATAGGTTATCACAAGGATTTCACATTGGGGATTCTGGCATAAGCTGATGTTTCTGCACGTCATTCTGTCCATCCACAAAAAAATCTGGTATTTTGTACTAGAAGAAAAAAATAGCAGTTGCCATTTTTTTTGTATCCTTTACCTAAGGTAGCATTAATGTAAATATGGGTTTGCATAATGTAAGATTGCCTTTTCTGCACTTTTGGTATTGCAGCCATGAATATAAATATAACACATATCCTGATTTCTAAAGTATGTAACATGTGAATTTGAGGTATGTATCTTGCATATCTTTTACAATGTCATGTTTGTTTCTGGCTTAGAGATATTTCTGATTATTTGTAGAACACTGCTTGATGAGGAATGATTTATATTCTCTGCTTCACTGCTAATTGATTCATTTTGATTTTCTCAGAAATGTTAGCACTTGAGATGCTTTTAAGATGTGTTCTTATACAGTATAGATAACGAGTTCTGTAAAATAATTGTAATTATAGTCATGATAAATTTCACTCTGTTATGAGTAAACACAACAAGAAATAAAAACAAAATCTGGGAGATTATCCAAAACACTCTAATCCAACATCCTACCCTCCAAGGTGAAACCTGCCTCCAGCCTCCTATCCTTCCATAAGTTTCTGAAGACCTGCTCTTCCGGTTGGCCTGGGACCCCAATAGGGGAGTACCACATTGGAGCTGACTACTAGATTGATAGCTAACCCTACCTCTCCCCTCACTCTCTGCTTTCCCATCTGCCCACCTTCTCATATCGCTATATCATTGTTATCTTTTCCATTGTTTATTCTATTGTTCCATTTATTGTTATTATGTTTACACTTATTTTTATTTCTGTTTTTATTGTTGTAAGCTGTCAAAAGTAGACCCCTCAGTAAGATAGGCAGCAAATAAATTTAACAAACAAATAAATATATCTCCCTCCTCAGTTCTCCATTTCTACTTCCCTAATGCATTTCTAAAGATGTGAAGCACTCTCCCAGCTCTTCCAGAATATGGAATGATAGAATAATGCATCTGTACAATCATGTATCATAAACACATAAACAAAATCCCTATTCCTACACATATTAGAAATAAACACAGCTAGTCGAGTGTAAGGTTCTCCAAACCAAGCTATTAAGAGGTTGTATCCAAAAAAACTTTGATACTTTCTTGTTTCAGTCTATTGTTTCCAATTTTTCCATTTGAGGTTTAACTTATTGTTTATACATTAAAAGGAGAACAAAAATCAGAATTATACTGAAAGCAAAAAATGAGAACGATTTTTCCCCCAGATTCCAATGAGAGGATAGTACCCTACTCTTAACCCAATCAAATTTGGCCTTTTCCACTCCCAATTTGAGGTATACACTAATTTGGTGTCTAGTGTATACTCACAAACACATTCGTTTACAGGATTCTTTGTGAAGAGTATGCCCATAATTATTGGTGTTATCTTTAATTACAGTAACGAATTTAGCAAAATGGTAGCAGAAGAATATCTCAGTTTCTTCGATTTTACTGGGTTGACCTTGGATAAAGCACTAAGGTGAGCAGGGCTGATTAATAAATAATTGAATCTGTTAATTTTATGCTTCTGGAATTTTGCAAAATTAACTTAACAATTTTTAGGGTTAAAAAAGAAAAAGAGATAGCATTGGTTGTTTATAAACAAGCACTGTTCATCTATAAAAAAAATGTTGGGTATTATAAAGACTAAAAAAGTTTAAAATGTTTGTTGGTTGAGCAGAAACCATATGCTGACTCACTGAGTAGTCTGATCCACATATGAATATTATTCTCTCAGGCCTCTTCTCTTTATCCATTGAGCATGATGGCAAACCACGACCCTAGTTTACTTTTGCTTTGCTTGTAATGTTATAAATTTCCATGGGCTGAAAGGCAGGATTAGGGTGTGAGAGCACACTTCTAATTAAAAGACTATGGGGAAAACTCTGACCTTACCTTAACCTCTTCTTTACTGGAAGTTACATTTCCTAAAGCAACTTTTTCTGTTTAAAGTGCTATCTGTTTTATTTTACATGTTTATCTGTAAAATGAAATTATGCCTTCCATTTCAGATTTCTAATCAGCGTGTTTTCAGGGCAGTCACAGCCATATTATCTAAATTCCACCCCTTTTTTACATGCATTGCAAAATATAAAAGGGATGGAGCCTCATCTGCATAGCTGTGACTGCTACTGATTTTTTTTGCCCCACTCCTGTTTCTAACACTTACATTGGTTTGGTTAATATACATTTCTTTTGCATCTCTGACATATGTCTTTCTATTGATTCTATGCTCCCCAAACAGAAGGCATTTCACTGTAGATATGATACACATTGAAGAAAACAATTCTAACTTCACATCTAAACCAGTGAATTAGCAGTGACAAATCAGGAAAGATATCAATAGCTTAATAAAAACACGATCTGGTTTACAGGTACTACAGTAAGTGCTTTTCACCCAGCACATTATTAAGCTATAGAATTCACTATCACGGGTTGCAATAGAATATAACTTTGATTTGATTTTAAGAGGGGTTTGGGCAATTGACAAAAGAGATATAGCTCAATAAGCTCTAGTCATTATGCTCATGTATTAAATGCCGTACTAGAAGCAAGATTGCTTTTAATGCTGTTTCCTGGGGAATAGGAATTGGGAAGGCCTATTACATTTATATTTTGCTATGGATTTCCTGCAGGTATCTAATTAATTATTGTGAAAAAAGCTGGCCTTTTGGTTTTATTTTCTGCATATAATCTACCAGTTCAAATATATAGTAAATCCAAGCCATTCTGCTTTCCATTTTGCAACTTACATTTTTAATGAAACATCTGGATATAAATTCATTGGTGTGGGATTGATGTAGAAGGTATTTAACCATTTGGTCTTTGTTTTTCTTTTCTTTTCATACTCATATTTCACATTCACAAAAATATTGTGCATTTGATATTTTTATTCCTTTCTACAACAAAATTGTTCCACATAAGACCAGTATTATGGGCTTCCTCCAAAAGCGGCTTCTTTCTTGGTGCTGTTTCTTGAAATGATAGATGACCATACCATGTACCATGACAATGCTGTCATTGAGTGACTCCAGGACTGCCACGAAAGGGAACCAGCCTGTTATCTGAATGGAGGGTCTTTCTGCTATGAAAAGAAATAAAAACCAAAAGTATGAGCCACCTGGACATTTTCAAAAGTGAGGGGGTGTCTTTTTTCCATGGGAATGATGGTCACTATCTGGGCACATTCCACCAAAGATCTTTTGGGAGCAAAACACCCAAATCAGATGTCAGCAAGAGCTACAGTCTCTGCTATTTAGTTCAAATCACTTGAGTAAGTCACTTGTTGACTTACAGTCTTTCGAGTTCAAATCCTCACAGAATGTCTCTGATCCCAAAAGGTTTGGTACTTTTAAAACTTGAAAAAGTTTGATATATTAAATCTCTTGTTTGTTTAGTTGCTTTCTTAATAATTACTTTCTATGTTTAGAGCTTTCCTAAAAGCTTTCCCCCTTATGGGAGAGACACAGGAACGGGAGCGGGTCCTCGTCCATTTCTCTCGCAGATATTGTCACTGCAATCCCCAGGAGAGCACATCGGAAGGTAAGCACTGATGACACTCAGATTTTAGCCTCAAACTCAGATGAATTTATTTATTTATTCATTTATTTAAATTGTATTCAGACTCATGGCATAATTCTAGCGTAAGAGGTTGCTAAAGAAACATTGCTTGAATTTATCAAAGGAATTGCACAGGGTTGCAGGGAAAAACAACAACTAATTTTTCTCTCCCTGAATAAAACAAGAGGGAAAAAAGACATCAGATTATTAAAACAGTAGAATAGTATTTCAACTACTATTATTATCTTTTTTCTTCCTCTCCCTATTTCCAGAAGTCAATCATCATACAGTATGGTGAGCTGAAGCTTGAATGCTATTAATAGGGTTCTTGGTATATTTGTGGCCAAGAATATAAGGCTCAAAAGACATGTAACAGTAGCAATGCTTTGGTTCTATTCAACCTTGGCTTTGATAATCTTCATATTGTTTTGTCTAATATGATATACAAAAGTATTGCATGTGGTGATAAACCTATTACTTCCTGCTTTTCTTCCTATTGCTTCCCATTCTTGTTTCAGTTCCTTTTGTTTCAGTAAATTCACTTTTTTATAAGGTATGATACTATGTGAAGGAATAAGGCGAAGTGCAGAGGAAGGAGAGTGCACAAGAAGGATATAATTAAATACTTAAAGATGTACCATTCATAACACTTGAAATATCAAATGGTATATGTTAAAGATATTGTTGTGTTAACAACCAGCAGAGCGTAGAACACATGGAAACAGTGCTGAGACCAATAACGAATAAAATACATATAAACTGGTTTATCAAAGTTTTCACTTTGTAGTGAAAAACAATCTCATAGTCTTTAATCAATCCAAGTCTTAGCCAGTCATAATCAGTCCAAAGATACAAAATTCTTCTTACCAGTTTGTAGTAAAAGGATCAAACAGGAACAATATAAATAGTTCTAAAAAAAAAGAATAAATAAACCACGATCACATTAGACCATGTAAAAGATCAAGTAGAAAATACAAAACAGCAGTAGGTAATAAATAGCAACAAGTTCACGCTGGTAACAGGTCACGATGGTGGCATGTCCACAATGACTACATTCAAGCTCTCCTTAAATACAGTTACTACAGATCTTATCCAATCAGGATACAATGACTCAGCATTACAATGACTCAGCAGTACCTCTTAAAGTCATAGAATAGAATAGAATACATATTCATCATGTTAGTTTATATATTGCCTGGCCAACCTGTTAGGCAAGCACCATATCCTAACAGTATATTTCTTCTATCTTATGTAGTTTAGGCTGAAAAATTAGGCCTTTGTGAGTAAACCTGATGAGGTTTGAGCTAGAGATTCAAAGAAGAAATGGGTTTATCTATATCAGTGTTGTTTTTTTATTGCAAAAGTTTTACAATTACATTTTCAACCCTTTCCCCCCCCCCAACACCCACCCCAAACTTCCCAACCTCCCTAACCCTCCCTAACCCTCCCCTCCCCCCCCGGACTTCCACACAATATAGTCATATCAAATAAAGAAACCCCCCTTAATATAAAACTTGTATAAAACTTGAGCCCCGCCCTCCCCCTTATAATTTTTTTCCCCCCTTTTCATTACATTAAAATATTTCTAATACATTACTTTCAAATGAAAGCTATTTGGTACTTCCTAGTTTGATATTTGTTCTGGATATATTCTATCCACTTTTTCCATTCCCATTCATAAGTCTCTTGTGAACAGTCTTTTAAGTATGCTGAAATCTTCGCCATCTCTGCAAAACTGGCCATCTTCAAAGTCCATTCCTCAATAGTGGGCAAAGCTTCATTTTTCCAATATTTACCTATCAACAATCTTGCTGCTGTTATCATATACAATATCAGTTTTGTTTCACCCAATGTAAAACCCTTAACTATACCCAATAAAAACAGTTGTGGAGAAAATTGAATTTTTTTCTTCAAAACATTCTGCATGACCCACCAAATTTTTATCCAAAAAGCCTTAACTTTCGTACAGGTCCACCAAACATGATAATATGTGGCATCTAAACAATCACATCTCCAACATTTTGGTTGAACATTAGGGTACATACACGACAACTTTTTGGGATCTAAATGCCATCTATAAAACATTTTATAGAAATTTTCCCTCAAATTCTGTGTAAATTTAACATTCTGAACCCAAATTTTTTCCCATGTTTCCAACATCACTGATTCTTCAAAATTTTGTGCCCACTTAATCATACAGTCTTTAACTAATTCAGTTTCTGAATCCCTTTCTAGCAAAACATTATAAAGCCTTTTGATATGCATTGGACCTTTCTCTTTTATATGTCTAACCAATTCTTCCTCATGCAACATAATACCAGTTTTTTGGTCCTCTTTCCATCTCGATTGTAGTTGATTATATTGTAGCCAAGTTAAATTAATCCCTTCAGCCAACAATGTCTGTAGTGTCTTCAGCTGCCATCTGCCCGCATCTGTAAAAAGAACCTCTTTGTATAAAAACCCCCCGAGTGACATTATATTTGTATTCCACAAAATATGACCAAGATCCAGCCATAGCGGTATTTTATAATCCCATTTGGATCGGTGCTTCTTCCAAACTCTCATCAAAGAATCTCTAAGTATATGGCTTTTAAATACTTTATCAACTTTGTCGTCATAAAATAAGTAGGCATGCCATCCAAATTCAAGATCAAAACTTTCTATATTCAATATTCCAGCCTTTTTCCTTCCAAACCAATCACTTGTTAAAGTCAAAGCTGCTGCATCGTAATATAGCTGTAGGTTTGGAAGTTTAAGGCCTCCCCTTTCTGGAACATCTTGGATAATTTTCAATTTCACTCTCGGCTTTTTCTCGTTCCAGACAAACTTATTCACTCCAGTTTGCCACACTTTCAGTTGTTTATCACTTTTAAGCACCGGAATCATTTGGAACAAAAAAAGAAATCTTGGCAAAATGTTCATCTTAACTGCTGCTATTCTTCCAAATAGAGACAGCTGCAGTTTTTTCCAAGTCTCCATGTCTTTCTGCACCTCTCGCCACAACACCTCATAATTATTTTGAAACAATTTCATGTTTGATTCTGCAACCTGAACTCCTAGATATTTTACCTTAGGTACAATCTCAAAACCTGCCCTCCTTTCAAGCTCGTGTTTATGATTTTGTGTCATGTTTTTAACTATCATTTTCATCTTTTTTGGATTCAGTCTAAAACCTGAAACTTTACCATAGTCTTGTATAATGTCCTTCATCAGGATGATTGATTCCATTGGTTGTGCTAGGGTAACAACCAGATCGTCTGCAAATGCCTTTATTCTGTAATCCTCTTGCCTTATCATTATACCTTTCAAGATATTAGAGTCCCGTATTGTGTTTAGCAAGACTTCTAGTGTTAAAATAAATAAGAGTGGGGACAACGGACATCCTTGTCTTGTTCCTTTTTCAATTTTAAACTCTGTTGTCAAACTTCCATTAATGATAATCTGTGCCTTTTGCTCTTGATAAATTGCTGAGATCGTCTGTATAAATTGATCCCCAAAGTCCATCTTTTTTAAAGTCTTTAGTAGAAAATTCCAATCCACTCTATCAAAGGCCTTCTCTGCATCCAAAAAAACCAGCACTTCAGGGATCTGTTTATTCTTCTCAAGATATTCCAATAAATCTATTACTTGCCTTACATTATCCTTCATGTATCTGTCCTCGATAAATCCCGCTTGATCATCATGAATCACCTTTTGAATTACTGGCATCAACCTGTTGGCTAATACCTTCGCATAAATTTTATAGTCTGTATTCAGAAGAGAAATTGGTCTATAATTCTCTGGTTTTTTAGGACCGGCTTGCTCTTTTGGTATCAGAGATATAAAGGCTGTTGTCCATGATGGGGGTATTTTGCCCCCTTGTTGAATATTACAAAATAAATCTCTGAGTTGTTCCACCATTTCAGCTTGCAAAGTTTTATAATACACTGCTGTCAAACCATCCGTTCCAGGAGCTTTAGCTGTTTTTAATTGTTTAATTGCTACTATTATCTCCTCCTCTGTTATAGGATAATTCATTCTTTCCTTTTGTTGATCAGTAATTTTTGTAACTCTTTTATCATCTAGGTATTTTTCTATAAGTCCATTCTGCACCTCCTCTTTAGCGTATAGTTTAGAATAATAGTCCACAAAAGCTTCTTTAATTAATTTTTGTTGAAAAATTTCTTTCCCTCCAATATCAATACTATCAATAGTCCGTATACTCTGTTTTTTCCTCAGTGTGTAGGCCAACCATCTGCCCGGTTTCTAAGCATTGCAAAATGTATTATGCTTCGCATATTGTAAGTTTGTTGCAACTTGTTCCGCCATAAGCATTTGAAATTGGTCTTTCAAGAGTTTTATAGCACCACGTGTTCTTTCATCTGTTGGATTTTTAATAAGTAGCTGTTCTTTATTCTTTATTTCTACTTCCAGTTCAGATCTTTTCTTTTGTCGAATCAGTCTATGTTTAGAGTTCATGTGAATAAGCACCCCTCTCATATATGCTTTGCTTGCATCCCAGACAATTTCTATTGGGGTACCTTTATTCAGATTTATTTCAAAAAATTCTTTCAGGTGTTTCTTAAGTTCTATTGTATTTTTTTCATACCTGAACAAGTTCTCATTTAGTCTCCAAGAGCGTCTCTCAGTCTTATCTATCTCAATTTCTATCCATACTGGGCTATGGTCAGTCAAAGTTCTTGGAAAAATCTTTGTTCTTTTTGTCTTAACAAGTAGATCATCTGACAACAAAATGAAATCAATCCTAGAGAAGGATCTATGTCTATCTGAGAAGAAAGTATAATCCAGTTCTTTTGGGTTGTGTATTCTCCAAATATCTTTTAATTCCAAATCTTCTTTCATATCAAAAAAAGTCTGAGGTAACCTAATCCTGGACTTCGCCAAACTCCTTTTATCTAATTTAGAGTCAATTACTCCATTCCAATCTCCCATGATTAAAATAGATCTATAGTCCCATTGCAGTATTTTGATATGTAACATTT